CCACCCCCCACCCCCGCGACTCCAGTCAGACGGCGGGACGCCAAAACAATGACGGCGCGGCTGGAGGCGCTGCTGGAAGCCACCCGCCGCAGCCGCCGGAGTCAAAGCGTCGCGGGCCTGCATCTGTCATTCCGACGGGTAATCCAGTGTAATTCGGCGGCATGATCCCACCTATCCTCGACGACCCTCGTCGTCCACATTCTGGCACCACCAGGACTTAGAACCGTGGAGGTCGTGTAAGACATGTGCACAGAGGGCCAGGGTTCAGTGGCACTTGAAGTGAAGTGCACGTTGCAGCGACAATGGCATGTCTAGCACTTGTAGCCTACTTAATCAGGGCCCACCCCACCAACGACGATAGAACGTAGACATCACTTGGTCAGGGGATGTCCAGGAGGAGGACAGCGTGTCCGGGGACCCGCGCCCGCCCGGCTCCCGGGCAGCCCCGCATGTCCTGTTGCACGGCTGTGTTTCCGGATGTGCTGTTGTAGTACCCACCTTGCCATCCTCGTCAAATTCGCTGCCCCACTGAGCTAGGGGTGGTCGCGCCAGCTCGCCAGTCCCGTTCCTTTAGTCCAGGAGCACGGACGCACGCACGCACACGCACACAAACACAGACACTCGCACACCACCACACTGCTGCTGCACGCTTGCTGCACGCTTGCTGCACGCACGGGGCCCCGGTCGCGACGCGCACGTCTGCTCGTCGCGGCGCGTGCACGCGGAGTGTTTGTTGTTGTGGAGCAGCCAGCGCAGCGCCATGCCCACCGGCCGGGCCGTAGCGAGCCAGCCCGGCGCAGCCCGCGCAGCCCGGCGCAACCCCACCCTCACCCCCCGCAGTGTCGCCCCCTAGCGCACCGAGACGCGGCGGCGCGGCGGCGCACGGCAGCGGCACGGCAGCTAGCGGGCTCTGTGCGCGCCGCCCCGAACTAAAAATAGACTCCAAACAAACAAAGGGCTCTGTTGCGGCGGGGGCGGCGCATAGGGCGGCCGGCGGCCGTGTCCAGGGGGCGCCCTGCGGGTCACCAACCCGGAGGGCCAGCGAGGGCAGGGCGGGCTACCCTGAGGGGGGCCACCCACCTCACCCCGGAGGGAGGGCCACTCTAGCACACGCACAGCCGAAGGGGGTACGCTGGTGATCCATTACCCTTGCACCCTCACACCCGCGCCGAACAACCACTGGGGAACAATGGAGTCTATCCACAGCATTTATAAGATCTCAGCCATGTAATCTTCGAACATGTACCCGAAAGATGCGGCAGTCGTGTATACACCTCTCCGAGGACGAGGAAAGGACCTGGCAACGGACTTCTTTCGCCAATTCCACAAACAAGGTTGAGCGCTCCGTCGCTACTCTGCCCCGCAGGGCTCTAGAGTCTCTGGCTGCCAGGGGTACGTCTCCCTGCCGGCAGGCACGCCCATATAGGCACACCCGCCGCGCGCCGGAGCGGTGCGTGCCGCAGTGCCGCAGGCTCCGCCGCCGGCCCCGGAGCGCGTCAAATGGGCTGCCTACCCCGCGGGCGCGCACCGCCCAGCGCCGCCCAGCGCCGCGGGGACGAGTAGGCTGGGCTGCCCACCCTCCCGGAGCTCGGCCCAGCTCGGGTTCTGCTCGGCGTCCTCCCCCTAGCCGGGCCGGGCGCTGGCGCTCCCTGCAGGTCACGGTGCGAACCTCGGCCCCGGCGGAACGACATTCCCCTTATCTCCCTGGGCCCGCCCGAGGCCCCGCCGTTCACCTAGCACTCGGGTGCATGCGTTCCTACTCTGTGGGCCGGGGACGGGCCGGGCGGGGCCCTCAAGGACAGACCGAAGAGAAAAACGGCAGCCAAATGCTCTTCGGGTAACAACAGACTCACCAGAGCAGGCGCCAATTGGCCCGGCGAAAAACGCGGCATACGACACATCGCGAGCGGCACACCGTGTCCTTCGGGGCGAACGAGGGAGCTACCCGTCGGAGGGTTTGGTGGACCAGAGTCCTGCGGGTGGAGCTACTGGTGACGTGGCGGCCGCCCGGGCTCGGCCCCCGCGGCCACGCGGCCGGTGCATGACATGTCAATGAGAGCGTTGTCGCGATGTCCCCGTCAGCGTTCCCCGGGCCTACCCGCCCTGGCCGCCGGCAGCCGCGACGGGGCGGGGCTTGGCGGGGCGGGGCGTTGCGGAGCCATGGGCGGAGCAGCCCGGCTGGGCAAATTTTTACGATGCCAAAGTGACTTTAC